GCACCTGAGGGCAGGACAAGAAGCAATGGGTGGAAACTAATCAAGGAGAGAAGCAACTTAGAACTATGGAGGAATTTCCTGATACTTAGAACAATTAATCAGTGGAACAGTTTGCCTCCAGAAGTTTTGAATGCTCCAACATTGGAGCTTTTAAAGAAGATGTTGGATAGCCTAAGTAGGGGGTTGGACTAGAAGATCTCCAAGGTCCCTTCCAACTCTGCTTCTATTCTGTTCTGTTCTATTAAGATGAAGGAACCTGGAATGTTCTCCTTGGAGAACAGAAGACTATGGGGAGATGATATCATTGTTCGGGTACTCAAAAGAGTCCATACAGTCAGGAAATACAGATAGTCCTTGACTTATGACCACAATTGAGCCCAAAATTTCTATTGTTGACACATTTGTTAAGTAAGTTTTGCCCCATTTTACGACGTTTCTTACCACAGTTGTTAAGCAAATGGCCGCTGTTGATAAGTTAGTAACCTGGTTGAGAATCTGGCTTCCTCACTGACTTGTCTGGGAGATGGTCACACATGACCCTGGGATACAACAGTGGTCATAAATATGAGCCGGTTGCCAAGCTTCTGAATTTTCATCACATGATCATGAGAATGCTACAAGGTTGTAACTCTGAAAAATGGTCATAAGGCATATTTTTCAGTCCCATTGTAACTTTGAACAGTCGCTAAATGAACTGTTATAAATCGAGGACTACCTGTATTTCCATCGCCACTAAACTAGGAACAGAAATAATGAGCATTAATTGCAAGTACCTAGATTTCATGTAGGGATTCTGGAAGCTGTGACCCACACACTTCTTAAAGTCACTAAGGTTGAGAAACTCTGGTTCAATACATTCTAGTTTTTATTTCCCTGTCCACAAATGGCATAATTAAAAATATCAATATTGCCAGCAAGAGTAATAATGAGGTTTGTCTCCAGCAGATGGCAGGATTAGAACTCCTAAATATTATGGCGTTTTTTTCCCCAGATCGTACACTTTCACATATTGAATTCCAATTACCTAATTGCATTAATTAGATAAGTAATTATGGTTTCTTGCTTTCTCTGTGGGATAATGATAATAATAAAAAGGGGGTAAGGTTAATCTTGGAAAGTTTTAATCTCACCCAATAACTTCCCCAGTCCAACTAGAAATGCTATGATATTATTATTCATGGTTGATTTAACAAAGGTTTGTTAAATAAACTGCATTTGGTCTTTTTTATTCCACATGGTAAACCAAACACTATGACTTACAAATGAGAGGGCTTCACACAATTTATTGTTGTTGTTCAGTCACTAAGTCACGTCTGACTCTATAGCATGCCTGTCTCCTGGAGTTTGCTCAAATTCATGTCCATTGACTCAATGACACCATCTAACCATCTCATCCTCTTCCACCCTTTTCTTGTTGGTCTTCTGTCTTCCATCCCAATATCAGGGTCTTTTCCAATGAATCCTCTCTTCTCATTAGGTGACCAAATTATTTGAGCTTCAGCCTCATTATCTGTCCTTCCAAAGAAGAAGCAGGATTGATTTCCTTTTGCATGAACAAATACACATTTTTTAAGCAATTGGAAAGCAATGAACACATGAGCATAAGTGACAGAAGAAAGGGTATCATTATGTACTGCTCCACAGTGCTTTCCAGCCCTCTCTAAGCGGTTTAAAGAGTCAGCCTCTTGCCCTCAACAATCTGGGTCCTCATTTTACTGATCTCGGAAGAATGGAAGGCTAAGTCAATCTTAAGCCTGGTGAGATTTGATCTGCCTAAGTGCTGGCAGCTGGCAAGCAGCAGAAGTAGCCTGCAGTACTGCACTCTAACCACCGAGCCACCGCAGCTCAGTGGATATATATGTGAATATATACATAATCTTGTATTTATTTATTTATTTTGTCCGTGTTCATGTAGGGTACATTGGAGGTGGTGACCCTTTGAGAGTTGTATGCAANCCTTCCCACCAAAGGTGGTTCCTATTTTTCTACTTGCATTTTTACGTGCTTTCGAACTGCTAGGTTGGCAGAAGCTGGGACAAGTAACAGGAGCTTACTCTGTTATGCAGGGATTCGAACCACCAAACAGCCAAACTTCTGACCTGTCAACCTTTTGGCTTGACAAGCTCAGTATCTTAAGAAGTTTTATTTCTATAAGCTACCCAGTCACCATGAGTTGAGTTGGGAAGCCATATATACATTTTCTTAATAAATAAGTAAACATTTTGTGCTTCATTTTTTTCTGCCCTGGCTTTGTAGTATTGTTGCTATTGCTTCAAACACGCAATGATTTTTTTTTAAAGGTTAACTATGCATAATACTATATTAAAACTTGTATGTTGAAAGTCTAGGCTATTTCTTTTTTCTAATATTAATTGGAATGAGATACAATCCGATCATCCTCTCCCCCCCCCCCCTCCAGTGGTTGGATAAATTCCCCTGAATCTTTATAACATCTTAATGCAAATAAGTCTGTATTGATCTCTGGTGCCTGGGAAGAAATCAAGATTGGATTTTCTGTAAAGCAACCTGCTGTTTAGGGAGTCAATACATTAAAATCAAGCAACGTTACAGATCAGGACGTAGATGCTTTGCCTGACATTCAGGAGTATTTGTTCAAATGAGTTTCTTTCATTAAATAGAGAGCATTAAACTGACAAAAGTTTTCTTTTCTCCTCTTTGTAACAGAAACAGACATCTACAATGCGCTGTTTGATTAATTCCACTGATAATACAATGCCAAGGTATCATTTAACACACCGCCTGCCTCTCTTAAAATAGATCCCAGTTTTTGCTCTTCGCAAGTTAATACCGAATACCTTTATCAAGTGACTGGATGACCCTCCCATTGTCTGCAACAGGGGCAAATAAAAAGAGGAAAGCTTTGATCCTGAAGGATCAAGACAAAACATTTCTCCACACTGTGAGGTTCGTGAAAAATGTTTATGGATTTAGTGAAAGATGATGCCCTGTTTGCTCCAAGCTACTGCACAATATAATAATAGATTTACATATTAAGGCTTCAAAATATCTCCAGCAATGATTTATCTATAGAGAGGGGGAACTTGCAAAATAAAGGAAGGTATATAATACAGAACTAAAAACTGTAGCAAACTGAATGGAATCAGGGTTTGGTACAAAATGTAATAAAACCCAGAAAAATAGAAAACTCTGAATGGATCATCAGATCCAATTAAGGAACGAGGTTGGGGTGATTTAGAAATCTAAAAACTTAGGAAGGCACATGGACAGAAATAATTTTGGAGGAATCCCTACTAAATAAAAGGTTAGGCTTAGGGGTTTTTTTTCTATTTATTATTATTTTTTAAAGACAACTTCATTAATTTGTAGATTAAACAAAATCGCACCAATGCCACATCTGAATACCATTTTGCTTACAATTTCTAACGTAATGTCAAAATCTTCTGAAATCTTTTAGAAAGACTCCATGGTGAAGCACATTTCTTGTACCTTTCTCGTACCACAGAGAGAAAAAAAGTCAATAGTTTCTCTTAAGATAATTATAAAATAAATTATGTACAACCCGGTGCAATCTGTAACAGGCTACTGAAAAAAATAAAACACTTAAGATATGCACAAGCCAACATACCTCTCAGCAATTATTGCATGCTTATGTAGTAGTAGCATTTAAGATATTATTATCACTGTTAGAAATTTTAGAGGCAAAACATCCTACCTATATTTTTTTTTTAAAAAGGGGGGATTAATTATTATGCAACTGAGTTATACTGCAAATAGTACAGTGAAAGTTGTAAATTGCTTTCAAGGTACAGCTCTCACTTTTCCTGGCAAAATGGATTTAAGATACAAGACTGCTTGCTGCAACAGCAAATTGTAAAATATTCCACCACTACATAAAATATGCAGGCATTTTGATTAATGACGTGGATCAAGGGATTGATGGTCTGCTTATCAGATGTGTAGAGGATACAACATTCGGAGGTCTAACCAACATTCAGGAGGGCAGAGAACAAGATTACAATCTAATTTTGACTAGTTGGAAACTTGGACTGGAAACAAAGTAATATTCTTCAACAGGGACAAAAATATAAGAGGGTGAAAAGAATATAGTTCACACTTATAAGATAGATGGCGGATTCAGAGCTATAGTGCAGAAGGACATGGATGTGATTATTAATAACAAGACGATCACAGCCAGCATTTTCATCTACCAGAAAGGTCAAATGCATTAGAGCAGTGTTTCTCAACCTTGGCAACTTGAAGATGTCCGGACTTCAACTCCCAGAATTCCCCAGCCAGCGAATCCTGGCTGGGGAATTCTGGGAGTTGAAGTCCAGACATCTTCAAGTTGCCAAGGTTGAGAAACACTGGCCTAGTATAATGTATGAACACAGCCACAGTGTTATCTATGGAAGTAGCTAGCTGCTCATCTCTTGTTAGTTACCTAATGATAAGAAGTTCCACCTGAAGTACTACCTGAAGTAAGCTTCTGATGCAATGGAAGGCCATGGGGGAAATGAGATCAGTGGAATGCCTGACCCGAGGGGGGGGGGGAGATTTCCTTATGCCATAAAAATGGGGATATAGCCAAGGTGATGTGTAATTTGTAGGGGTGGGTATAAAAGAGTGAAAATATAGAAAGCACAGTAAAGTATGGAGACAGGAAGAGTCATTCCTTGTTCTTGAGCCAATTAAGTGTCAAATCTGCAGAGCCTGGGATATACAAAGATTCCCTTCCAAGTACTGAAGCACATCAGATACGTGGTAATAGTTCTAGGCAACTACCAAAACGAAGAAGATAATCAGTGTACATAAATGTGCTTTATAACCCCTGCATGTCACTGACATTATATAATGCAGATGTTAACAAAGTATTGTTTTTTGGAAACAAAGACTCAACATTTAAAATAAAAAGCTGTTATGCAAATATTAGAACATGTGCCAGTATCGTCATCTATGTATTCTTTTTATAATTATTTGTCTTACAAGTAAATATTAGAAAGTGAAATTAAGTTGTTCTCTTCCATTACATAATTATTCTTAATCGTACAAAATATTTATTCTCACAACCATAATCTCTAATTCAGCCTCAGAATCACCATCAGTAAATGTTACTAATGTTCCTGATTTTATAAAGAAAAGAAACTAGAATCAGGTTATTAATCTAAACCCCATAAACTAAATTACGACTCAGAGTGATAGTGATTCTCAGACTTACTTAGATTTCTAACTTGATCAAAAGCCCATAAAAGCCCATAAAATAATAGCCCGGTCTACTTTCTTAATCTCTCTCATGGCACATCAACTGCTTTTGCCCTGGTAACACCTGCAGGGGCCACAACCTTCCCTCTCTGTATAAAAGAAGATGGAGATCCATGTCTTGCTAAGAAAGAAATAGTGCATCCTGTAGCTTTCCATGCAGCATATATGGGGTTTCTGTTTTGGTGTAAATCTGTTAGTCATTTCTTTCTGGCTGCCAGAATAAAACCCAGCAATATATTCCCAGTACCATAAGATCCTTAAAATGCAACATACTTGGGTCCTCCACATTCAACTGCAGAAGCTTTTACAAATCGAACAGGCTGCAGACCAACAGGTTCAATGCTTAATGTATTGTTTTCTACAGCTTCCAGGACAGCAGAGGCCAACTGAAAATAGACCACAAAGAGGCAAGTAGTAGTTTTCCCAAGGTGTTTCCCAAGGCTTGACAAAGCATGCTATGAGCTCTGTCTGGAGATATTATTAATTTATCTGTGACAAAATGAAGCATGTATCTTCAATACTTCAAATCAATGTTTATCAATCTTGGCCTTTTAAAGATGTATGGACATCAACTCCCAGAATTCCTTGCCAGCATGGCTCCCTGGGAATTCTGGGAGTAGAAGTCCATATATCTTTCAGTGGTCAAGTTTGAGAAACATTGCTTTAGAGGCACAGGAATGAAAATATGATATATCCAGCCACCGCCACCAACACCACCCTCTCTAAAGCTAAACTACCGGTAGTAGCAGAAATTGCATGAAGCCTAGACACTATCATGGTTTTTCTCATATAAACCAGAACAACACAGGATGTAACACCAAAGGAGCCAAACCATACAATTCATTACCATAAGAACCAGCTTTAGATTTGCATTGCAAGGGAAGGCAACATTTTGGTGGCCAGTATCTTTGGGAAATTTCACATTATTTTCTTCCAAATTTTTATAGGCAGAGATGATGATCAAAGCAAAGTCCATTTTAGAGTTGAATTGCAATTCTTCTTTGTTTCTACGCTAGAGTATCCCATGGCTACCCTACAAACAAGAGCTCAGATATCACAGTTGCCCATTGATGGATTATGATCAAGAATAAAGCATTCTCAGTGTGTAATATTTTATATTTTAAGATACATGGCTTTCAATTTGAGAAACTAATGAACATATCAGCTTTTAATGCTAGTGGAAAGAAGAATAGCAATGTAGCAGAACTGCCCAGAGATTCTTGGTTAATTATGAAGCTAATTCTGGGTTCATAAGATTAGGAATCAATGCAATATCTGTATTCAACAGAGTAAGTTCTTAGGAGCAGTAAGATGAATAGCAAATTGTACAAAAATAAGAGAAACAAAAGAAATTATAATCTGGTAAAACTAACTGCAATATTTTCCATCAAAACAGCTTGCAGTTTAAGCAAAGCAGTTATAAAGTGAAGTTGGGACTGTGCTTATGACCTTACTTCAGCTTTCCTTTGCTTTACAGACTTGTGTCATAAATGTGAAGACTGGTTAAGTTACTTCAGGATCACTAAATGAGGCAGTCACTAATCGTGGACTATATGCAGATTGACTCCTTATCAACTGAAACTATTCAAAGGTTCAATATGCTGTTTTGAAATTCTCAATAACAAATCCGGAAGAAAACTTTTCTCATGAAATAATATTTCTGACCTTCATTGTGAAGTGGTCCAGAGCTACAGTTTATGCAATACAAACACCTATAATTCTGTGGAAATACTTTGCAGGTAAAAGAGGGAATTTTGGACTTAACTGAAGATATCGAAGTATTTGGTGGTAGTTGTTTTAAAAGACATTCTTTCATATTACCTAACCAATCTAAGTATCACTATATGTTTTCAAAGCATTACCTCACTTTTTGAAAAGGTTAAGCATGGAAAGATATCTTCTTCATAGATTTTATTGAGAAAAGGGCATGTCCTGTCCATGGTAGGATCATCCTTCCAGGATCTGAATTTGTTGTATAAAGATATATCAGCCTAACATTGAAATAAAACAAGCAAAATGAGAGTGCAAGTCTTCATTCAAGAATCACACTATATACCAGTGATGGCGAACCTATGGCACACTTGCCACAGGTGGTACGCGGAGCCATTTGTCAGGACATGCGAGGCGCTGCCCTGTCAGCTGGCCAGCACGTATGCGCGCGCTGGCCAACTGAGTTCACCCTTTTTAAAGCCATTTTTGCCCTCCCCAGGCTCCAGAGGCTTTATAGGAGCCTGGGAAGGGTGAAAAGAGCCTCCACCGCCCCCCCCCCCCCAAGAGGCCCTCTGGAGGTTTCATGAGCTTCCCTGAAGCCTTCAGAGCGCTCAAAACGACCCTACGGGCAAACCGGAAATGACTTCTGGTTTGCTCGGAGGTTCGTTTTGACTGCTCCGAAGGCTTCAGGGAAACCTCCTAAAAGTCCCTGAAGTCTTCGGAACGCTTAAAACGACCCTCCAAGCAAACCGGAATTCACTTCCGGTTTGCTCAAGGGTCCTTTGCACTCCTCTGGAAGCTTCAGGGAAGCCTCCTGAAGGTCCCTGAAGCCTCCAGAAGGCTTCCAGGGAGGTGGGGGAGGCTGTTTTCGCCCTACCCAGGCTCCTGTAAAGCCTCTGGAGCCTGGGGAGGGTGAAAAAAGCATACAAAAAATGGGGGGGGTTGCGCCTGTAGTGTACGCATGCACACTGGAGGGTCGTGCACTGCATTATGGGTGTGGCACACCTGCACACAACCCCCCCTGCGCTCCCTCCTCTTATGGCATGCGAGCCAAAAAAGGTTCACCATTGCTGCTATATGCCATAAACCATATTGTACCAAACCATAATTAACAAAGGATAGACATTACATAGCATTTGCACTTCAGTGATAAAAATCTGTGGACAGCAGAGTTTTGTTAAGAACCCTGAATCCACATTAATTGGCAGGTGACTCATTCTTCCACTTAAATCAAGATAATGAAACTCCATCGTACCATTGCATAGCAGTTTCAAGGCAGTAAACTGCAGAACTAGACACGTAAGGCAGACTTCACCAAACTGAGTATCCAGTTCAGCAATAGCTATATTGACTGGGAATTCTAAGAATTGAAGTCCACATATCTGAAGAATACCCAGAACAGAGACAACTGAACTGTAGTGTCACTTAATTGTCAACTTCTACCTTTGGCTTCTTAATATTTACATACATATATGCCATTGTTCATAACTTCAATCAATTTTTCTTACCGGATTTAAGAGATAAGCAGTAGTGTAAGCCAAAGTAGCACCATACTAAAAAAAGTTAACAATTTATGGGACCACCAATATTTAAAGTTACATGGCAAATATATGCTCCGTCTGCTTAGGAAAAGTAGACTAAACATGCTCAATAAATGTATCAGTGGCTGATAAATTGGATGGTTGACAGGAATGAAATAGTGGATGGTATAGTTGGCTGATGGATGCAACAAATGGGAGATCTCCTGAACACAGCATATTGTTGAGATTCCTCCAGTTGCCATTAATTTAGTGCTTTAATCCTGCAACTTTTAAAAAAGAGGTTCTATTTTCTTTATCTACTTTTTCCTATTAGAATTAACTCCCAATTTTAATCCTACAAAAACTTGACAATGACTAGCTTGCTTAATATAGGAAGAAGCCTTGTTAAGCCAATGAAACTAAAGGCTAACCCTAAATTACATTAAATGTGTAGCTGCAATTATATCATTCAAACCACAGTCAGGAGATAGGGGAGGAAGAATTAGAGTTTCTCCTCAATATAGCATTTCCTTGTACTGTATGTGGCTAAAACTGAAACAGAGGAAATCAGTATCTGTCAAAGATATGTTCCAGTCAAAATCCATTCATATGAATATAATGACAGGTCTAACAAGTTGTTATTACAGATAGACTTTTCTTTAAAACAAAACATTACAAGTTGCAAACACCATTACTGAAGAGTTTCAATTGCATGTGGCAGGAGAAGAAGGCTCAAATAATAATCAAGGACTTTCTGTAAAAGCACCCAATAATCTTTATAATCCCTGAGCTCCATATTTCACCAAATCCCAATTATTAAAATACCTCTTTGCAGTCCTTTACAATTGGCTGCATCATGTTAACCTCCTGGTTATTGACGCCCATTGCACTACTTGTACTCTTGTTCCTTGTGTGGCCTTTTCTGAAGGGTGTTTTTCCACTAGACTGAAGCTCTTTTGTTGGTGAAGTTGGAGAAGTAGATAGCACTAATGCTTTCAAAGCTGCTACTTCAGCCTGAAGTACATCAATCTAAATATATTATCAAAAGAAAAAAGTATCAGAAGCATGCCATTCTGCATCCTGCACAGTAAGATGAGATACTAATGGGTGGGTGGGTATGTATGTATGNACTTTATAAAATTTATAAAGCAGAGTTACAGCAAACCCCTACCGCCCACCATGAAAGCTGGAAGGCCCACTAGTGGGTGGTAGGGACTAGGTTGACTACCATTGATCTAGCTTATCAAAGAGAAAGATTAGGGGAGACAGGATAGCTTGAGGGGCTGTCACAAAGTAGAGGGAAGTGACCTATTATCCAAAACACCTCAGGGCTGGACAGTGGAGACAAAGAGATGGACGGAATTTTATCAATAGAACTAAAGAGAAATTTTCTGACAGTGACAACAATTAATCAATGGGATAGCTTTCTTCGTGGATTGTAAGTACTCAATCACTGGAGATTTTCAAGAAAAGTTTAGACAACCATTTGACTGAAATGGAATATGTTCTTCTGCCTTGAGCAGCAAGTTGGATTAATTCCTCCCCCCCAAACTAAAAAATCTCCAACCTTTTAGTCACAACATGTTTCGGGCTGCCTCTGAAACAAGTTGCATGCAATGAAGGGTATCTCATATTTTATTCCAATAATATTTCTTCAGTCCATCAGTGACATGTTTAAAAACTATCCACCATGCTCTAGCAAACAAGCATCCTTCCTTACTCAGGCATTAAATAGTGACAGGTCTGTATTTCCCTTTGGTTGTTTCACAAAAGTTTTTCACTAAAAAAATAAATAAATTACTGAGCTCCTGGTTAGATAGTTAGTCTAAAATCAATGTTATTTCAGGATGAATGTAAGCAGAATGGGAACTGTATGGGACTGCAGTATTTAAACCATTTTTACTTCCAAATATTTGCAACAATTAGAAATTGGGCCCAGTCTTAATGGGGCTGCAAGAGATTCCTGAGACAGAGCAAGAAATTTCAAGTCTTCCTAAATTTCGTCTTGCAATGCGTTGTCACCATTGCTTCGTCGTCTGCCCACTTAATCTCCTTCTTGCTCAGTCATTACAACATTTCTACAAGAAAACACTTAGGGTGCCCATCTATGTGAGATATAAATCCACCACCACCCAGCAGCAAATTAACCATATAATTACCATATTTTTCAGAGTATAAGACACACCTTTTCCCCTCAAAAAAGAGGATGAAAATCTGGGTGCATCTTATACACTGAATACAGCATTTTTGGCCTACCGAAACCCCAACCCCATTGCAAAAATGGACATGCAGGGGGTTTGGGAGGCTTGCAAAGTGCTCCTGAGGGATGGGGAGGGCAAAAAAGAGCAAAAATGGGCTGGTTTTTGCCCCTCAGCCCCCAAAAGCACTCTACAAGCCTCCCAAAGCCTCTGCATGCCCCCCATTTTTAACAAAAAATGGCTCATTTTTTTGCTCATTTTTGACCCTCCCCAGACCCCAGGAGCACTCTACAAGCCTCCAAAAGCTCTGCATGCCTCTTTTTTGTGTGTACAAAAAATGAGGCATGCAGAGGATTTGGGAGGCCTATGGAGTGCAAAAACATTTTTAGAAATTTACCTCTTCAAAATCATGGTGCGTCTTATACTCTGGTACATCTTATAGTCCAAAAAATACGGTAGGCCATACCACTATTTCATAATAGCAAACAATACATGGTAGGGGGGAAAATCAAAGCATATAAGTTGTTAAACCATTCTTGGTTGAATAAATGGTAATTGGCAAAATTCATTGTTGTTAGTTGCAAAGTCATGACAGACCCATCGCAATCCCATGGACAATGTTCCTCCAGGCCTTCCTGTCCTCTACCATCCTCTGGAGTCCATTTAAGCTCACATCTACTGCTTCGATGACTCCATCCAACCACCTCATTCTCTGTCATCCCTTTCTTATTTTACACTCAATCTTTCCCAGCATGAGGCTCTTCTCCAGGGAGTCCTTCCTTCTCATTAGGTGGCCAAAATCTTTGAATTTCATCTTCAGGATCTGGCCTTCTAGAAAGCAGTCAGGGTTGATCTCCTCTAGGACTGATGGGTTGGATCACCTTGCAGTCCAAGGGACTCGCAGGAGTCTTCTCCAGCACTATAGTTCAAAGGCCTCCATTCTTTGGTGCTCAGTCTTTCTTATGGCCCAACATTCACAGCCATACATTGCAACTGGGAAAACCAAAGCCTTGACTATACACACTTTTTTTGGCATGGTGAACATAAGTCATAGTTTACAAACCACAATGGCTGGATTCAGATAACATTCTAAATCCAAACCAGGCAAGCCATTTAATGGCAAGTTATGTGTGAACAAGCCTAAAAGCCTAAAGCAAATGCTGCACAATCATATTATGCTTTTAGCAAGCACTGAATATATTCAGAATAACATTGGGTATTCTTTTCCCCCACCCCGGGATCAATATTTCAAAGTTTGTGCCTATTCAGAAGGAAAGATATTCCAGCAAATATGATTATAAAAATGGCCCACCCAAAGGCGTCTTGTGGATTATCCTTCCCCATGACTAAGTATCAAAACAGATTATATAAAAATGCATTTGAATGTATCCGTGCAGGAAAAAGAAGAAATACAATTTACCAGTTAACATGAGCTTGCTGGATAACAGTGTGCTTAAGAGAACAATATGAAGGGCTCTTCAAAAGATTCTGTTTTGCAAATATCTTAAGCCATGATATTTGGTGAAATGGATTTTACATCAGCTTTACAATATTTGCAACAAGGAATATTTTACAAACTGATTCGGGGATCAGCTTAAGCTATTTGTACAGTAACATTTTTCAAAAACCTCAAAAAGTGATTTAAAAGCAGATATGGAACTTAATTTTTTTTCCTGCTGCGTTCTCTGAGGAAAAAACAGCCTAGGTTGTGATGCTGTAAAAATTATATATGGTCTATAAAGCTGTACTTTTAGTATTTTAATAATCCAGGCCTGACATTGCTTGCTTTTATTTTGTAGCTGATAAGTAAAACTTAATTATTTCAGTGAAAATGAAATATTTTATGTTTATGAAACTATAAAATTTAAAATAGGAAAATTAAGTCAAAACTTTCATTCACAGAACTTTCAACTTCAACAAAAGCAACACAGTTGTTATAATATTTATTTTCCAGGTCATGAAATCAGTTTTCAGGATACTTTATTAATTAATTAAATTTAGAAGTCAGTTGACTCCAAAATTTGCAAATCATACAACGAAGAAAAAAGAACCACGAATGCCCAATAATAATTATTTAATGATAATAATTATTGCTGCTCCATACAGCCTGTATAAATAGTCAGGATGTTATAATACAGTTTGGACTGGATCCTCACCATGAATACAGGAAAAAGAATAGTCAAAACTGAAGGAATCAAGATGCCCTATGGAAATAATATCAAGAGTTTGGATGAAGACAATCACAATAAATATCTGGGCATCCTTGATAACATCAAGTAGTGACATCAAGGTTAGAAGTGAATATATCATGAGAATGAAGAAGACATTCAAGTTGGAGGAAATACTTTTAAGGCAATTAACACTAGGGCCATTCCATTCATTAGATACACAGCTGGAATACTGAACAGAACTCAAGCAGAACTAAAAAAAACCTGGAGAGGAAAACCAGAAACATAATGATAATGAATCACGCACTTTATCCATACAGTAGTAGGCAACTTAAGTGCAATCCCAAAACATCTGGAGCACTGCTTGAACACCATTGACATTAATAAAAACATCACCAGTCAATTGCAAAGGGAAGCTTTACTTGAAACAGCTTACATCCTGTGGCAGTTCCTTATTACACAACATCTGCCTGTCCTAGGTCCTTCGGAAGTACTTGATAGTGGATGGTCTCATTTTAAAATAAAGGCCATTTTCTTTTGGAAAAGAAAATATCAACATTTCCCTCTGTTTCTATTACAGTATTATTAATAGAATTGTTATTTCCCTAGTGGAACTGTCCGTGGTACTGACCATGTCAATGAGCTTAGATTTCTCTAAGTTTTCTCATCTACAGGTAATCATTGAGTTACAACCACGACTGGGATAAGAATTTCCATTGCTAAACAAGGTAGTTATTAAATGGGTTATGCATGATTTTACATTCTCTTTGGTCATAGTTGTTAAGTGAATCACCACAGTTATATGAATTATGTGGTTGCTAAGTAAATCCAGCTTCCCCCATTGGCTTTGCTTGTGGGAAACTGGCTGGGAAAGTCACAAATAGCTATCACATGGGATGCTCCAACTATTGTAAATACTGCCCATTACGAAGTGCTTGAATTTTGATTATGTGATTGTGGGGAAGTTATGGTGATCTTGTGAGGAACAATTGTAAGTCAATTTTTCAGTGCCATTGTAATTTTAGAAGATTGCTAGACAAATAATTGTAGGAGATAATCAGGCTGAGCCTTAAGCTCTCAACAAGAATCTGAACTATAAATAGCCAAGGGAAATTAGTGGGAGATAAGAGAAGAAGAAATTCAAAGTGGGTTGGACTTAGACCTCTTGTGGATGCAAAGAGACTCATGACTGGTGATCCACAAGAAATCTAAGTCCAACCCCACTTTGAATTTCTTCTACTCTTATCTCCCGCTAATTTCCCTTAGCCATTAGTAGTTCCAATTCTTGAGACAGCTTAAGCTTACAATCAATCTTTATACCCATTTGAACTATTTGGATCTTCATGTTTCCCCGTCACTTGACATGATTACAAATTGAGGACTACCTTTTTTAAAGTTTGATATATTTGCCATTGACATCACAGACCTCAAATATATGCATTGGTGGCTACTAATTTAATTATAGGTTTTGATTATAGGTATGGATTATGCTTCTCTTGCTCAGTTTCAATATATATTGCTTGCTGATTGTACAAAGTAGCCTAAATGGGTTACTTCCTAAAATTATTCTCCTTCAGGTTTCTGAAGACAAACAATAAGGGAAAATAATTGATACTTGAGAGGACTAACTTATCAGGGCATTAAATGTACAGCTTCCAAATATAGTCCTTAAAAGATGATGATGAATTACTCAGCGATCATCTGAATTTCAACCTCAAACTGCAGATTTATGTCTCTTGGACATACTCAATATCTGCATTGCTGCCAATCTGTGTTATTTTTGTTTAATAATTGCTTGGGTAACAAAAAAAGAGCACTGAAAATGAAAGGTACGTGGTGTATGGACAGAAGAGCCAATAATTGTTTTTGGGAGTTGATGGTAACATTTAATAATACAATATGATGTTGGCTATGTAATACATGTGATTATATGTTATTAAAATGGAAAAATAAAAAATAATATGCAAAAAGAATGAAATATAAAAGGATGAAAAATTCTGAGCAACTTGTTACTTTGCAAACATTTTTGGTGCTGGCCTTGATTATTATACAGAATATCATATATTCTTTTCTGACCAAAAAAACAGAATTCTGCAACCTGCCTAGTTGGCTAGGGAAATCTGAGAATTGAAGTCCACACATCTTCAGTGACCAAGGTTGGGAAATACTGTTCTAAATTAAGAAGGGTCTATGACAATTTGCCAACTTGCTACAGCCAACATGTCACATCCCTTCCATAAGGGACAGAGCATACTTAAAAGATTGGTACATTATTAAGAGTTAAAGAATAGTTCATTAGATGGGTAATATTGAAAAATGAAAAGGGGCAGAATAAGATAAAGAAAGGGGAAAAGAATTGTCAGAGGAGCTAGTAGAAGCAAAGGCCTTCATTATGTGTTGAATGTAAAATACAGATAAATGTCAAAGCAAAAGTGGTAAAAGAAGACTGACAAACTGAGGAGAACAACTAGTAAGAGGAAAACAATACTCATCTCTTTTTTTTTAGATTAAAATTACCCATAATTTTTAGCCTTCAGCAGAAAAGGAAGTTCTTACTTGCTTTTCTTGCTACAGTGTTGGCATGATAGTGAAAAAAAAATCATTGACTTGTTTAGATAAGGAAAGGTACCCTTGCTGCCTCTAATCACTGGTGTTTGTGAAATACCATAAAAATTGGAATAATGGGTGGGTAAATTTATCAAAAATTCTATTATTCTGCTTAAGTCAATAACAACAATCATAGAGAAAGAAAATTGAAGACTTTGATTTTTCCATGGAAACATAATAATTAACTACCAATTTCATCAGTTTCTCTTCAAGTAGGTTTTTCTGACTGGCCACTTCCAGTGTAGTACCAAAGACTGAATATATTCTCCGTACCACGGTTAATTTATAAATTTCCTACTACATCTTGTCAAGATGTTTAGCCTAATGGAGAGAAGATTTAAGGGAAATATGGTAGCCATCTTCCAATACTTGAGAGTACCTGAGAGACCGCCTCCTGCCGATTACCTCCCATAGACCGATTAGATCTCACAGGTTAGGTCT